TCTTGAAAAAGCAGGATTGTAAACACAATACATTTGAATGATCTTTGAAGAAATTATTTTATTTTATTCTTTATTTGACTGGGAAAATTTTTTTGCGAATTCAAGATGGAATAAACGTCGCAAAATTCAAAAAATAGTATGTTGTTTCTTGTTTATCAAGTTTTTTCTTTTCTTTAAATGAAAGAGCTCTTAAACTCTTCCAGCTTGAAAAAATATTTGACAATCTCAATTCTTTCCCTAAGATTCATTGTAAGTCTCTTTAAAGCTTCTACAAAATTTCAACAATTGTTCCAAAGTTTTCGGTTCCGTTCATATTTGGTAAGATTCATTTGTGCACTTCATGTAATGATCTTTAATTGTTCTATCCTTCAGATAAGTGGTCCGGAATTGCATATTTTTTTGATTGTATAATAAAATTGTAATTGCCCTTTGGCAATATACAACTGCAAAGCATTTGTCATAAATTATGTGTTGATGTAAATAATTTGTAGTATTTAAATTAAATTTGTGAAAATCATAAAATTTTAACTCGTATAATTTATGTGCAGGAAAGGGAGACGACAGTTTTTTTGCCGGCAGATAGTGAATAATTAGGGAAATATATTACTTGAGAATTTTCAAGTTTTAAGAAAATCTGATATGTGTTTAACTTAAGATGACTTTGAAGGAAATTCAACGTAAAGATTATGCATAGAAAGATGTTTTATATAATTTTCGGAAAAATAGTGAATTAGAAACTAAATGGGAAGAATTCAAAGTAGGAGAAATAACTGTTTGCAGTAAAACTAAGGTGGTGAAATGACTTTTTAAACTTTTCATCAAATTTCTTTCTACAACAGGAAAACTGTTTGGGATAATAATTTCAATTAATTATGCAGGAAATAAACTCCTCAAAGATAGCTTTCGATTTTACCTTATCACACTGAAGTGACAACATTTAAGGTACGTATTCCAAGTTTAATTTAAATTTAATTTCCATCAACAAATTTAATTGCCGGACTCCTTCCCATAAGAGTATCTGAAATATGCAACGGGGGTCGTTCACCCATTTTCATGACAGAGATCATTATCGATGCTTTTTGTATGGGCCCTACCATCCACTTCTGCTATCCTTCTTAACCATTTTCTTCATTTCTTATCATTTACTTTCTTAAACAGTAATATTTTCAAAAAAAGTTCCTTCCAACTTTTGATGATTTATTTCCGTCAGTTAAACTTTAATACGATTAATCGATTAATTCGAGAGTTACTTCATTTATCTCTTTCTTATCGGGTCTAGAACAATTTCTTAATTACAGTGGCCTTGTTCGAGGAAAAAGAGAGGAATAACGTCACTCTTTGTATAAGTGTGAAAGTGGTCCCTGTTCAACTAAATTTCACTGTCTTCATTTCAGTCCCAATATATTCTATACATTCCATCTATTTTATGGTTAGCAAAAATGGTAATTAACAATTGAAATGGTACAATTCCCCGGTAAATTATGGCGGAAAATACCGTAAAAGTGATAGAAAAAAATACCATTACATCGCTCGAGAGAGGCCTTCATGCTCACAAAGGTTGGCATTCATAATATTATTGCAAGGCTTTCATTGTATTACGAAGAAAAACATGTTTGAAAAGTGAGTCAAATAATTGATTTTTCGGGCTCTCGGGAAAGTTTTTCGAGACGTTTAAAATGTTCCAATCTTGCTAGCAATTTTTTCTTTACAATTTTTTTTCCTTTGAAATACTTGATTTACAACAATATTGATTCTGATATTATCAGACTTTTTTGGGAGTTTGCTTATGAAGTCAATTATCAGGCAAAGTAAATAAAAGAAATTGACTAAGAAATTTTTATAGATAGGATGGAAAATATTCTGTGCAAGCAAGATGACTTACTTTCTGCGGCTGAACGAAGTGGAAGAACAAGCGCTTGAGATAGTTGATCTAAAAAAGAAATATGAAATGATACTTGCAGGAAATGAACTTTTGAAGGCAACTCGGCCAATACAGGACACGACACAGTAGTTTCACCTGCTTATCTTATCCGGATTTATCTTACCTTTATTTTATTTTTCTCTTATCTTACCTCTCATTCTGCTCTAGTAAATTTTCTCTTGTCTTATCAAACTCTTAATATCCCCCTTTATTGAAAGTTGGTAGGAGCAAAGTTTTCGGAACTAAAGTTAGAATTAATTTCGTGTCAAGAGAATGCCGAAGACTTTATCCGAATTTATACAATTGACGATAAATGCTTGCATTTTTCATATTTTTCTCTGAAAAAATACGAACATCTTTAACATTATAACGACGATTATATCGTGTCATCACAGATTACTGCTGCAATATTGGGCAGGAGCAGTAGTAAGTTTCAGGTCCAGATAGTCCTGGTTCTCCTTACTGAAATTTTCTACATTTCAAAAAATAGGGAGGACAAGTGAAAACTTCACGAAACACTCAAGGTCATACTCAACTCGAATTTTTTCAGTGACAGCCCAGGAAACTTTCCGTTTTTCTCATCTTAAACAGAGGAACTTACTCTTCCTGGTGAGCTTGGTGCACCGGTATTTCCAGGTAAACCTTCTGTCCGGGATGTCCGACTTCACCCTAACCTCCAGGAACACCATTTCTTCCATGCTCTCCTTGTTTTCCAGGTCTCCCGCCTTTATCAGTTACACCTTGATCACCGGGTATCGAAATGTATTTTGCACTGCTTCTTCCTGGTGGTCCATTAAACCCAGGTTGACCTTGATTATCTGAAATTTGTTCCACAATTACACATTTACTTCACATTGTTTTTTGAAATACGAAGTTTACCTGGTTCGCCGACATCACCATGTAGACCAGGTGGTCCTGGTATTCCATATCTACCTTGCACTCCAGCAGCCCCGAGTTTTCCTGGGCAGCCAACTTTATCTGGCTGTCCTCAGGGTCTCGAGGTCCGTTCGGTCCAGCTGGGCACTGGACACAGCCTAATTTCGGTAAATTTAAAACAACGACAATATCAGCAACACCTGGAAACCCCGGTTTGCCTGGTTCACCCTGTCGGAAAAACCGAAAGGATTTATCATACATTAAATGCTTAAAATATTTCTAATGATTCATCACTGCATTCATTCACCAATTTACACTCTTTAAAATTATCTCCCATACGTTTCTTTTGTTATCTTTGTCTAACAAAATTTCACATCCTTATTTTAATGACAAAGGATGTCCAATTTACATGCTAATCTTCCCTCTGTTCTTGTTACAATGCTTATTATGTAATTGGATTTTTACAGTTTCCTTTGTATCTAAATGAATACCCTCCTATTTTTACAGTTTCCTTTGTATCTAAATGAATACCCTCCTTTAACGTTTTATGTAAACCACTCCTACTTCTTTATATATATAACCCCCTTTTGTAAAAAGGTTTCGTCTGGACTAGTGCTCTTCCATAGTATTCTTACAACAGCTTTTGACTCACGGTCAAGCGATTTTTTACTCGCTATTCAATAATCCTGTCGATCAACCCTGTATTATATCAATAAAGCGGTAAATTTTACTCTGTGTCCTCACAACGTATATTCGACGTCTTCACAAGGTAAGCCTTTAATTAAAGTTCTGCTTGATCTTAACTCAAGGCTAAACCTTCCAAGTCTAAACGAATCGATAAAAAGAAAGAATTTTTTCACAACAGAAAGTACCAATTAGAAGCTTTGAATTCTACAAGTGTCNGTTTATAACATAAATGCAATCGGCGCAAAAGTCACTCCATTACAGTTGCTTTATGCTAATGATCT